ATAAAATAATGGTTACAATGAAATAATGGTTACCAGGGCTTTTTGTTTTGTAGAAAAAGCCCAGCAGGAACTCATTAGTATAACAGGCCACACCCAACAGCAGAAACTCATTAGCATATTAAGCCACACCCACGACAGTGCAGTTCATTAGCAAATCAGGTCACACCCCCGTGCCTTCCCTTGGCTTGCCTGGGTGCCCCGTGGCTGCAGGAAGCCCAGGCAAGCCAGCCCTTGGACAGGCCTAGGGTTGCCAAGTCGACTCACCCCTCCGAGCGGGGGAGCCTTGCTGGTGTCTGAGAGGTCTTGATGGTCGCGCGCCATATGTTCCCATATGCTCTCTGTTCCCATATGTCACGATTGCGCTGACGGGCCAGGCAGGGCACCGAAAGTCCAAAATACAGTCTGAGGTCCAGGCACCAGAAACGTGAGCAGAGTCCAAAATACCAAGTCAAAAACACAGTCTAGGGTTACCGGAGAGTGCAGGCAGAGTTTAGAAGCCGAAAGCCGTTCGTCAAGAGTCAGGTTATTCAACGAGCTCAGCCACGCCCCCAATGTCAGCAACGTGGCTGCGTCACCACTGGTGACGCAGCTTCAGGGCCGGGGTTTCCCCCGGGGCCCGATTCCGCTGCGGCGGAAATCGGGCCTCCAAAGCGGGGGATTCCCCGCCCCCCGGGCCCATTTGGCAATCCTAGACAGGCCAGGGGAGGCACAGGGATGCATTTAAATGCCTCCCTGATCCTTCCTGGGGCCCCCTGGCCCACCCACCTCGAAGTCGCCTTGGGGGTCGTTCTCCAGGCCTTCCCTCTGTAGCCACGCACGCAGAGGTTTTGGCTGTAGCTGGCATGGCCAACTCTGAAGCCAGCCAGAACTCCATTCCTGTGCGTTCCTGCCCAAAAATAGCCCTGATGGTTACAATGCTTCTTTATGACCTAGAAAGTTAAAGATTAGTAGATGGGTAGGCCAAGGTATCCAAATTACTGGTGAGGGGATCGAAACTGGAATAGTTGTACACAGGGCTTCTTCTTTTTTTTTAAGAGGTGTTTGAACTCTCAAGAAGGAAATGAAGTTTTCAACCTGTCTACCGAAAACTCATGAACATTTAAATATTTTTAAAAGAATTTTGTCGAAGTGGTTCCAGAACTCTGTCCCAGCTTGCTCCTCCAGAAAAAAGCCCGGTTTATGTCTCTCACTTAAAGAAGGGATTCCAATATATCCCCGAATGGTGAGGACAACTCCATGCTAACAAGAAAGCCGAAACTGAGTACACTTATAATTGAAATTATGGGGTTAGATCTGACATATCCATTCTGCTCATTGTCAAACCTCCCCCAAAGCACGAGAACGTTCTGCCAGTGCAAATGCAGAATTGATAGACAGGATTCAATCCATGGTGTTTAGCAGGGGTCATTTCGTAGAAAAAGAGGTGCAAGAGCTCATTAGCATAACTCATTAGCATAACTTATTTGCATATGCCACACCCCCTGACATCACCGGACGTGTACCAGAAGGGAACACCCACCGCTCAGGTTCCACTGGACTCTTTTGGATTGCTAGCTATTGGAGGGGGGGAACATGCAGATCTGTCCTCACAGAGGAGGGAGAGCTTGTACCTGAATAAAACTTGGTCCTAAAACTGCCACTGGACTCTTTTGGACCGGGGGGCTGGGTGGAGCTCTGCAACTTACCTGGCTGCTTCTTGCTCTGACTGAGGGCTGCTGGAAGCAGGGGGTGGGGCTTGTTGCATGTGCCCACCCCCTGGACTCTTTACTGCCGGAGTTCCACTCCTGTGCGCTCCTGCAGGAAATGACCCCTGGTGTTTAGAAGAAAACAGAATATTCCTTAATTCCTTAATTGAAAGATGGCACTTGAGGCCCTGACCTGGATAGGCCAGGCAAGCCCGATCTTGTCAGATCTCGGAAGCTAAGCAGGGCCGACCCTGGCAAGTATTTGGATGGGAGACAACACACATGCTCACGAACAAAAAAAAAAAATGCAAAAAT